TCCAATGGCCACGCATCCGGGCCCATGTCCTTCCACCAAGACCCAGATGGCACAGGTACGCCGAGCTCCCTAAGAAGGCAAAGTGGGGGAGCATGATAGTGGTAGTGGCCAAACTGGTCGCCATGCCCACCACAATTGTCCAAAAGCCACGTCATTCCTTCGCCAGGATGCTCATGAACGAGCAGTGCAGAATTCAGAGCCACGCCGACAACTCCATCCACGGTGTCAAGCGTCTCGGGGTTTTGACCACGAGGTTTCTCAGGCAGCCAGAACTCCACTCGATGAAGTCTGGGAAAGTATGGGTTCACATGCTGCTGATGCATCCTGTGCAATGTGCCGGACGAGGAGTCTGAACTCAGTCGTCTGCCACGGCGTCGTGCGCCGAAGTCGTCTGAAACACCACCGCGGCGCCTGTCGGAAGCACCGCATACCTCACATGTGCTGCTGTTGCCATCAGTGCCATTCACGACTGGGGAGCTGGGTGGCGAGGTTCGCCGTCTAACCGGTGGGGCACGACGTCTGCTCGGAGCAGCTACCACCGGTGGGGTTCGACGTCTGGCCGGATCGCTCGGGACAGTGTTAGTGCGACGTCTGCTGGGATCAGATACCGCCCCTGGAGCACGACGTCTGCCAGAAGAGCCCAATGCACGGCGTCTGGCTGAGGCTTGGCATGCCCCACATGCGCTGCAGTTCCCGCACGTGTTGTTGGCTGAGATGTTGCACTCGTAGAGATCTACACCGGGATGATGCCCGAAGGTGAAGATGTCCGTCCCTTCCATTCTCGGCTTCTTCGAGTTAAAGCCAAGTGCACACCAACCCTGATCATCACAATCGGCTTGCACATGGAGGTATGCTCCTTCAACGACTTCCAATGTCCATGTAGCACCGCCGTGACTGAACACCAATTTCTGGGCAAAGCAGCGTGTGCTCACCAAACATATCAACGACCAAAGCACGAGCATGGGGCTTCTCCCGCGGCCACTAAATTGCTGCTCTGACTGCTCAGTGTTCTTATACTTCTGCTGGTGTCGACTAATGTTGGTGTGCTTGAAGTAAGAGTGTGCCCCCAGCCTGGATACGTGACCATACAAAGACACGCGGGCACATTCGGAGCCCGGAAAGATGCCTCGCTCCTTGCGCTGCCGGAGAGGATGCTGGGTGCGCTGGGTCGAGAGTTATAAAGGAATATGAAGGATTCGATGTTCAAGCTTCTTTCCGATTGCGTGGACATCGAAACGTGCTGCAAAGATTGGCCCAACAACCCCAAACCCTATACCCCTAAAACCTAAACCCTAAAACCCCTAAACCCCCCGAAGCCTAAATCCTCAGCATGCTGACCCTGACCCTGGCCTCCTTTCTTGGGCTCGGTTCCGCCGGGCTGTCTTTAGGCGTTGCCTGCCAACGCAGAAAAGATCTGAGAAGCTTGCGAAGGTTCCAGAGCCCCCAAATAGAGTCTAGGGTTTGGGGTTGATGGTTTTAAAGTCCATGTACCTACAGGGTATGTAGCTGCAATATGTTGTTCTAGGGTTCAAGTCAATCACGTGTATAATCTGTACTACATACCCTGACAACCCATGTACCTTTGGACGACATACATTGGCCGTACCATCAAGTTAAAGCTACTTTATGAGCCTTGAACAATAACCCCCCCATAAACCGCCTAGACCCTGAAACTATAAACCGTAGGTCCTAAGCCAACAACTGTATCTAGATCCAAGAGTAACCTAGGAATAAAAAGGGCGCCCTTTTTGGGTTAGAGGGCTTATAAGGGAACCTGAACCCTACAAAAAGGGAATAAGGGCCTACTTTGGGTCCTAGGTATGGTGCCCAGGGCTCCAATATATCATCGCACCCTGTGAGGCGAATCGATGACGAACCCATGACTCAGGGTTTAGGGTTCAAAGCTCACAGTTTATAGCTTAGGGCTTAGGGGGCTTCATGGACTAGTGTTTAGGGTTAAGGGTCAGGGCGTAGGGGTTTATGGATAAGGGTTTAGGGTAAGCCAGATAACCCAACACTTTTGCAGCATGAATAGACCGTAGCCTCAGGCCCCAAACTCCTGTGTAAACTGCAAGCTGGAACATAAGCCTAGAGCCCTAACCTCCAAACCCTACAACCTAAACCCTAACCTCTAAATCACGAAATACTCAAACCGAAGCACATGCCTAAAACCCGAAATCCCCAAGCCTTGAAAGCAGAAGCCCACTCACAATGTGCTGTTATGTCGTCTCTGTTTGCGTGTATATTTATATGTATATTGTTAGGGCTGGGGGTGTCAGGACCTCATAGCTCCTTGCTCGGATACCTGCTTAAAGGGTCATGAATACGGAACTGCCAAAACGAAAAAGGAATCGCAATTGAGACAGGTCGGTTATCCGCTACAAGCCACTAAAGCTAAAGTCCCCGAAACAACCTACACGCTCAACCCTAATCGACTAAACCCTCAACCACATAAACCCTACACCGTAAGCCCCAAAAAGCCCTAAACCCTCAAACCCCAGAAACTATGGCCTTTTCATCCGTGCCGTCCTCCTTGGGTTGGACCTTCGGTGTGCGCGGGGCTGGTGCTTCCTGGCCGTGCTAGGATGACCCTTTAGGGTTTAAGGCCTTTGGGGTATTCTTTGGATTTACATGTACTAGGGTTTAGGGATGTTTAGGGTTTAAGATTCAGGGCTATAGGGCTCACGCCCTTAATTAAGGGTGTTCTTTGGGGATTTGGGGATTAGTGTAGGATTCATGATTTAGGGTTTAGGGGTTTAGGGTTTTGGGGTAGTTTTGGATCCAGAAGCGAATTACGTTTGAGGAACCCAGGTTCTTCAGTCATACTGTCGTACGGCAAACCTGAATTCCTAATAGCCTACCGTTCAGGGTGGCTTCCTTTTTATGATTTATTCTTAACTTCATTTTCTCTAACCCTTAAAGCACATGGCATACGAACCCTGAAAACATATTATTCCCAAGGTCTCCTGATTGCTTTACTATGCACCCCAAACCCTATTCCCTAGGGGCTGAGTATCCTAGCCCAAAGAGGTTAACCTTTCAAACCATGGTAGGATTATACATAAACCCCCAAAGGTTAAATGTGCCCTACTCAGCTACTAATGATTCTAAATCACGAAATAGGGTGAGGCCCTGTAGTCGACTTTTTCGGAATCCACCCTGAGCCATACACCCTAAATCCTGGACCCTCAACCCTGAACCCTAAACCCTAAAACCCTGAACCCTAAACCCTGAACCCCTAATCTAAACCCTAAATCCTAGACCCTCAACCCTGAACCCTAAACCTAATGCCTAAAAGCCTGAGCCATAAATCCTAAATCCTAGACCCTCAACCCTGAACCCTAAAAGCCTGAACCCTAAACCCTGAACCCCCAAACCCTCAACCCTGAAGCCAAAACCCGCAAACCGATCGGTGGCCTGCTCTGCTTTTGGACTTCGGACCACCTGAAGACGAAATTCAGAGCTTGGTTTCGGACCTTAGGGCTTTACTATATCAGAGGCCTCAAACGGTGGGATGAAGATAGATGGGGTAATCCCAAAATCAGAGGCCTTATGCAAGGGATCCTTATCCTACCTACCCTCGTCCCACCTTTTGAGGCCTCCAACTATAGGGCCCCTTTTAAGTAGAATAGGGTTCCTATTAAAGGCGTCTAATAGTGTCGGGGCCTTAGTAATAAGAATAGGGTTCCTTTAAAGGGGTCTATTATAGTGTAGGGGCCTTCATAATTAGAATAGGGTTATTTGTGGCCCACTAAACTATAATAATCAGGAGCCCCCCCCAGATTTGGGCTTCAGGATTCTAGGGCTTCGTTGCTTTAGGGCTTTGGGCTTGAGGCTTTAGGGTTTAGGGGTCATGCAATGTAGGGAGTTGCAACTTTAGGCTTAGGATTGCGCAGCGCTCAAGACCAAGGTCTGCTGGACCCTGGCATCAAGGGGCTTGGGAGTTAGGATCAAGGTTTAGGGTGCAGGGTTCAAAGTTGTGGGGATTTTGGCCCAGGACCTGGGATGCCCTCTTTATGGAAGCCCTGGTGACAGCAGTCTACTGGGGCCAAAACCAATTGTAGGTCGGAACCGTCAATTACCTACCAAGAGACCTCTAAAGACGGAACCGTCGTGGAGAAGGAGTTATGTAGGAACTTGATTAAGAAACCTTGGGCCTTTATTAATTAGGGTTTCTTGTATGAATCCTACTATTTTGGGGGTTATAGGCCCAGGGTTTCTTAATCAGGTTCCTACATGACATCATGTCCTCATGGCCTAGGTTTAGCAACCCGACACCAACCCAAGAACGAAACCCATGCTGCAACGTGCAGATCCTTGGGGGCTTCAGGGTCTCACGATTTTGTTAAAGCTCCTGTTTGATGACTGCTCGCCGTCCGACTTACAAGCATCAAGGCCGAGGTCGACCACACGAGGTTTAGGGTTTAGGGTTTTGGGCTTAGGGTTTAACAAAAGTCTGCATTGCGATTCCTTTTTTGGGCTACCTTTCGGGATCCTTCAACAGAAAACGGGGCCAGACCAAAACAAGGAACTGCAATGGAGACTATAGGTAGATAAGGCAGACTTTAGGGATGTAGTAAATTTAAAAAGCTTCCACATCCCGGATGACCAACCGGTTGAAGATCCAATCATGCCACATGCGACGAAGTATACAATTACACCCCACTTATCCAGGATCCTTGCTTGTTGTTCATGCAGTTTGGCTACTCTGCGTATGTCCCGAGTCAGTGCGGAAGAGGCGTGCCTTGCGCGGTGCGCTTTTGGAAGCCCTCACGGCTCGGCTCGTCATCTTGGCGCAAGGTGATTGTCTAGACAAAGACATGTAGAAACTGTGGCAGATGACCCATTCGCCTATAGCCTATAGCTCAAAGAAACAATCAAGGTCCCACACCGACAAAGGAGGCGAAGTCAAGTGGATGCCAATTTCAGGGTTTTGGTCCAGAGTCTCAAGTTTCAGGACCTCGGTGTTGCAGGGCTTCAAGATTTCAGGGATAAGGGCTAACATTCTGCAGGGGGCTTTGCAGTTCTTAAACCCTAAAGCCTAAACCCTCTAAACCCTAAGCCCTAAATCCCAACCCCCACACACGCAAACCGCAAGGAACCCTGAAAGGAACCCTCAAAAGAACCCTTACAGTAACCCTGAAAGGAACCTTACAGGATCCCTGAAACTAGCCCTTAAAGGAACCCTTAAGGCGCCCTTAAAGGAAGCCTTCAAGGACCCCTTGACCTAGTTGTCCGCACGAGCGAAACTAAAGGTTAATCTTTGGGATTTTAACTAGACCCAAGAGTAACCTAGGAAGAAAAAGGGTGCCCTTTTTGGTTTAAAGGGGCTTTTTGAAGGAACCTGGACCCCAGAAAAAGGGAATAAGGGCCTACTCTAGGTCCTAATTAATGGGGATTATGATGCCTCAAAGTTTGTTCAAGGTTACCTAAGAGACTGCAGAACTAGCCCCTTGCTTAGGACCTACTTGTGAGGGCAAAGCAAAAGGTTACCTACTCTACTACTAGGTTCACGGCTTCAAAACAGGCCAAATCACTTGTGGAGGCCGCTGTGCTGAGGCGGTCGCTAGGTTCCCAGGCAACCGCAAGGGTTCTTTCCATAAGGGCTTTTTGATAGGGTCCCCAGGGGTTCTGTAAGGGATCTATCCACAGCCCTCATTCCGAAAAACGAAACCTGCAAACCCTCTCTCTAATCTACTTACTGCAAATCCCTAAACACAACAGCTCTAATTCTCAATCCTAAACGGCCGTAAACTAACCGTAGTATCTAGCAACTCGATTTCTGTTCATCTTCTAGTTTCTTCCTGGCCAAGGCACAGCATCGAAAGGTGCAGAAACAAACTGGCGATCGGGACCTGGCGAGAGTTTCGAGTCTTCCGTGATCTATCTATCTTTCTATCTTTACATACATATATAAATACAAACAAACAGACATATACAACAAACAAACAAAGAAACCCACAGACAACCAACCCACCAACCACCCAACCAAAAAACAAACAAAGAGATCTCTTATACAACCCCTTACAGAACCCTTAACTTAAAGGAAACCTCTTCGAATGATTCCCTAAACCCTCGACCCTAAACAATAAACTCCTAAACCTCAAATCCTAAACCCTGCACCCCTACACCCTATGGCCCCCTAGGTAGCACCCCAAAAAGCTGCCAAGGGCGCTTTGTAGTCGAGCACTTCCAGGCGGATCCTCAGGGCGGATGCTGTCCTTGGGCGACGGCCTGGCACATACTGTTTGGGGTAAAATGGCTTATGGGGATTAGGATTGTGGGTTTCGGGTTTCGGGTTTAGGGTTTATAGGGTTTATAGGGTTTATAGGGTTTATAGGGTGTACAGGGTTTATAGGGTTTATAGGGATAAGGATTAGGGGTCAAGGATTTACGGTTTTGGGCTTAGGGTTGGGGTTTAGGGCGTTGAGAGACAACGCCAGCTTTTCTTGCTCTAGTGGCCCTGTTGAGAACTGCTACAAGCATATCAACGCTGCTTAGAGTGGAGTCATCGTAGAAGAACGGGGCTTCGGGAACGTTTGAAGAGATGTAGGAACTGGAAGCTGATACTTCTCCCAGCTATTCAGACCCCCACTGCGAATAACAATCGCTCTTGAAGTAATCGCTTAGAGTGGCTGAGGCCTGGCTCTACAACTCCCCAATCAATATGGGCGCCCAGACACTGAGGATGCCCGGCAGCCTTTACACCCGCACTGGGTCAAACATTGGGTGAAGCCTATGGAGCATGGCCGAACAGCCCCCATCTGGGCTGTCAAGGCTTGCCCGGTTTGGCAGTTTCCCACCCTTCAAGACAAGACTTTAACGGGATCCCAGGCCCCACAAGCTACCCCTGGCTCCCTGGCCCCTGCCCTGCCCTGCCGGGGGAATTGAGGCCGTAAGCCCTACACCCTTAACAGGAAATGGTCTGGGTGGTTGCCTGTAGGATCATCACAGCGGGCGGGTTTTGGAAAACTTCCGGTTTCACCGAGTGCTTGCAAGGAACGTCGCTTGACGCATAATATGCCGCCACCCACAAACCCTGGTGTGAGGTGGCGCCATCCTAGGATTACCAGCCACTGCGCAAGAAGACACCCTAAACCCTGAAACTCTAAACCCTATAAACCCTAAAACCCTAAACCCTAAAGCCCTAGAACCCTAAACCCTACAACCCTAACCCCAAACCCCTAAACCCTAAAAAACTACACCCTACAAACCCTAAAGCCCGTGAAAACCCGGCTTTCAATATCAACCCGTGGCCATCCTACCGAAGCCTTCCCCTCATACCCATGTACCTATATGGGTAGTTGACAAAATTAGGGTCCTGTTTTGGGTACCCTAAATATTAGGTGCCGTATTATAATAGGGATCCAAAAAGGGACCCTAATTTTGACAACTACCCAGTATGACAGTAAACACCATAAAGTCGAAAACCGGATTAAGGCCAACTAATGCTGGGATTCCCTATACATGTCTCCTAAGGACTGAGTCTATGGGGTTTCCAACTTTTGGGCTTCTACTGTATGCCTTAGGTGCTGAATACCTTCGCCCCCACAAGGCTAAGCTTTTAAGTTATGGTGGGAGTATATGAACCCGCAAAGGTTAAAGGTTACCTACTCAGCCAGTTTAAGATATAATGTAGCACCAATCTTATAATATTGGGAGCACCTTTTAAGGCCAAAGTATATACTTTACTGGTATATGGACTCGCGAGCCTCTTAGGCCTAAGTGCACCAGCAACAAACCCAAAAGGACCCTCAACCACACCAGCAACAAAAAAAAAAAAACCGAGGGCATCATTTCTGGGCACCCCACGGCTGCGGTGAAGGTGTTGCTTCTTGTACAACTGAGCCGCCCTGTCGATCCGGGCTAATGTCAAAGAGCCGTGGGCCCCTCCATTCAGGGTTTTTGGGTTAGAGGGTTTTGGGTTTAGGGTTTAGGATTTAGGGTTTAGGGTTTAGGGTTTTGGGTTTAGGGTTTTGGGTTTTGGGTTTTGGGGGGTGTAGGCGCCAATCCGGAGCAAATTTAGAGAGGTTCATACCAAAATAAACCTGACCAAATCCTGAATTAGCTCGGGACGGTGCGCATTGACAAGGGTCACAACCTCAGCCATTGAGGCCTTTGTGGGTCTAGGTGTCTTGGCTCACGGATTTAGGGTTTGGGACTTTCAACAAGCTCTAAGATTTTGTAGTCTAGATCGGGTTCTAGGGTTTGGGACTATGATTAAACAAGCTCTTAGATTCGGTAGTCTAGATGAGTCCAGCGTTTCAGGTTGTAGGCGTTACGGCTGAAAGCATTTTGGCTTCAGTCAGGGTCTCTGGTTTGGAGGTGCTCAAGGACCCGACTAGCTGGATTGCCCTTAATTGCTGTACCTGCAAGACTGTGACTGCTTGTCTAATTACTCAAGCTGCTTCCCCAAAGCCCAAGCACAGGGCCACCCAAGAAAGACGGACGTGAACATAAGTGGCATTCTGCACTTCCGCGTTTGGTTAGGGTCCCCTGAAAAGGGTTTTTGGTTTGGTAAGATTTGGTTTAGGACCTCGTAGCCCCCCCCCATTTAGACAACCTCACATACAACCCCACATTTGCAGTTGGTAATGCAGGAGCCTGAATAATTGGAATAGCCTTTGGAGGCATATTATACATAACTTCAACAAGGAACCCCAAGGAATAGTACCCTCCAAGCCCAGGTACCCATCCTCGAAGACCCGGAAATCTGAATCACCCGAGATCTGAGCTTGCCTTGACGGGAGTTGACGCCGGCGAGGCCACCTGCGGCCGTTTGAGCGATTCGGAATTGCTGGGGTTTAGTTTAGGGTTCAATGTAGGGGCCTTAATATAGTTAGACTAGGGTTTCGGGACGCCATTCTACTATACTTATAACAAGGAGCCCCCACAGCAGTATTAGTAAATGCTTAGGCCCCTGTAGTAGGGATGCTGCTATAACTCGCAGTGACACCCAAACTAGGGCTCAAAGTTCAGGGTTTAGGCTCTTCATGAAGGCTCAAAATACTTGAAGATACCTTTCTAGACCCTCCATTGACCCTCTATAAGAACCAAAAAAGGCCCATTATTTGGGACCCTATACCCCTATTTGAAGGTACAAGGAGGGTCTAAAGTCTTTGCGAGCTGTCTTGGTTCAGCCTTGGACCACAAGATCGCAACACGCATCATGTATTGTCATTCGGAACCGGGCTACATGCTATCCCGATAGGGCGAGATGATGATGACCACGACTATGCTGAAGCTGATGCCATGTCCAGGATGAGGACACCGATGCTGTTGTGTGTGTTGAGAAAAAACGATGAACCACCCCAAAATCACGTCAGAAGCATCGTGATGGATCGCAAAAGCACAGCAAACATGAAGCTCTCCAAAAGGGTCCACCATATAGTATATACTTTGGCCTTAAGGTATTCTCTATATTTGGGCACTTTGGGGCCAAAGTACATCTTATTTCGTTACTTGGACCCTGAACCTAAACCCTATGTGCATCCCTTATAAAAGAACCCTTAAAGAAGCTTATTTGGGAGTTTCCGAAAATAGGGGGCCCTAAGAAAGCACCAAAAATAGTAGGATCCTTATTATAAGGACCCCTAAATAATGTACCCATAATTTTTGGAAACTCCCATTTGGGTACATGGACCCTGAAGGCTCCCATAAAGAATCCGTCCCGGGCTCGCGCAAGCCTGGGTCGGACTGACCACCACTTTGGTCCCGGCGCCTGTGCAGGAAAAAGGTTCCTTTAACGGGGCCTCTAAGGGTTGCTAAAAGGGAGCTATAAGGGTACTATAGTAGGAGTACCGAAACCCTCCCTCAAGGTTTGGGTGAACCTCGACCCCCCCAAATACCCTGTGTATGATACCCCAAACACGCACTCTTCAGGACCTTTAGGGGCTCGATTAAAGGGCACTTGGGGGGGGGGGTCCTGGAAGCGCGTGTATCGCTATGGAGAGACTAGAATATGAACCCTTCTCCACGTCCTTGCACATGAAACCCCAGCCAACACGGGACCAAGGGGCATTCATCGACACTGGGTGCAAAAACAGAACACAATTGCCAGTGATCCACAGCCCAATGGCCCACATCCTGAAACGACCCACACTAAACTCCAACTCCTAAACCGTTTCAGCACTATAAGCTCCAACAAGGCCTGCAGGCACGATGCCAGCGGGCCAACCCTTGGCACATGCAAAGCTTGATCATTTGCCACGATGTTGGATGTAATTTCGGATTGGCTGAGAGTAGGCAACCATCCGCTAAATAACCGGATCAACAACCAATACATCATAGACCTGTCCGCATCATCACTTAGCCTGAGTTCCGGGACAAGACGCTCACCTTTTCAGATCCCTCGGGGCTGCAAGCTATATGGCCCCTAAACCCTAAACCTAAGCCCCCCCCCATACACCCTGCATCACACCCTAAACCCAAGCTTAAGGGGATTCAGGTGTGGAGGCTTTCAGGGTTTGGGGCTTCGAGATTCCGGATGACACTTGCCCCTACTTGTCGGTATCATGGGGAACCAAAGGTTACCCTTTTTGGTTGTATAGGGACTATACTACCCAAAAAGGATAAAGCTTGCTTACTCTACTACTAGGTGCCCGTGTAGGGCTCTGGAACTTATCTTTGGACTTTGTGCTTGGACTTACTAGGTTCGAGGGTTCATGGCTCAGGCAGGGTTCAGAGCTTGGGGTTTAGGGTGCAGGTGGTCGCAGACTCAGGTCAGGCCATCTTTCAAACCGGCCATCGCCAACGCTAGTAGATGTACATGTACATGTCCTGCCACTATCCAACAGTAGTCGCGATGATGGCAGAGAAGCCACCAAACCCTGGACCCTCAAACCTTATAACACCAATTGAATAACCACCGATGAAGTTACCAATGTCCTTCGGCCCATAGCCCTTGAAACCGTTCACCCACGAGGCTCCATCAACCTGCAGAAGTTCACGTTCCATGCCCCAGCCCTGTGTACAATAATCGCGACATCCCCAATTCCCGTCCGAATCTCAAACTCCTCAAACTCAGCTGAAACGTCCTCGCCGAACTAATCCCCCCCTCACCCCCCGAAACCTAAGCAAAATGGCCCCTAGCTGAGCCAATCGCCAAGGGAACCTGCTGAAACGACGCCGGAGTAGGAAGCACCTGTCCCTGACATCTGCATCAATCCTACAGTCTCCATTCTAGTTCCTTTTTTTGGTTTAACCAATTATATATTAAGGATCCCAAAAGGTAGCCCCCAACAAGGAACTACAATCCTTTTCCTTTTTCCTTTTTGGATTGTAATTCCTTTTTAACAAAAACCCCAAACAAACCCAAAAGGAACTACGATGGAGACTCTAGGAAGAAGCTTGAGGCTCGAGGCTTAAGTTAAGCCCATGGGCCGAGAACCCTGGCCCGAAACAAGGCTAGCCGTTTGAACTTAAAAAAGCATATCCCAGAGGGTCCACATATACTAACATTATGGAACTAGGTCCCCCAAAATCATATTAGGGATGGTCTTTCGGGACCTCACTCCATAGTGGTACTATATATGGACCCTCTGGATATATGAGCCCCCCCCAAGTCCCCCTTAATAGAGGCCTTGAATAATGGGTATTTCGGGTATACTAGAGGGTAGTTGGGAGGTCTAGGTATATGAGCCCCAAAAGGATAAAGGTTACCAACTCAGCTACAAATTATTTAGGCCACGGTATAAAGGCTCGGGGGAGTTTGGTGATGTTTGGTGCCTTCAAGACTTCTGCCGGGATCCTGAGAGGGACAACAACTAGAATGCACAGGGATTTGGCTTAAGGGGCTTACGGGTTTAAGGGGTTAGGGCTTCGGGGTTTAAGGGTTCATGGGTTCAGGGTTTTATAGTTTACGGGTTTAGGGTTTAGGGATTCGAGCTGTTGCCTGTTGCGGGTTTCGGCTTTTGGGGTAAGGGTTTAGTTCGAGAACAGGGTGTCAAGTTCAACACCTTATCCCTGCTTGAATGGCAGCTTTCAGTACCTGCGCATGACCGGTTTAGGGTTCATTGTGTGTCGTTTGTTTTTTTTTTTTAAGTGCAATGCCGCGTTTGGGGTTAAGGGTTCATCGTGTGTCGTTTGGGGCTTAGGGTTTAGGGCTTGCGTTGTAGGTGCTTCAAGGTGGTCGTCCGATAGTCAATCAAAGGGGAAAGGAGGGACCCTTAATGGGGACCCCTACCCTATAATGGGGCTATATAATGGGAATATAATGGCTTTATTAAGGGTATATACCTAGGGGTCCTCATTAAGGGTCGCTCCCTTTCCCCTTTGAGTCAATATGGCTGATCTTCCAAAGGCGATATCAAGCTCAACGCGCGTCGACCTCCTGTAGTCCCTTTATAGAGCCCTTCTACGAAGCCCCCTGATACAGGGCGATGAAAACCTACTTGTGGATGGTTTCCTGGGGCTGAAGGCAACCTGTGGGGTTATGTTGGGATTACAGTACTCTAAGCCCTATAACCCTAAAACCCTGAACCCTTATGCACCCTCAACCTTAGAACCTTAAACCCTAGACCCCAAAAGCCTGAACTATAAACTCTAATTAGAAGCTCCAAAACCCTAAACCCTAACCCCTAAACCCCTAAACCCTAAACCCTAAACCCCTAAACCCCTAAACCCTAAACCCTAAACCCTAAACCCCTAAACCCCACACAACTACGAGGAGAACCCCGGGCCCCCCCGAGCCTGGCGGTAGACGCCGGCCAACCGCGGACCCGGAGCAGTCGGCGTGTGCACGCCCTGCCTCGAGGTCTGTTTTTGGGGCGTTTCGGGTTCCGTTAAGTTTTAGGGGCTTAGGGGTTTGCGGAATCTAAAGAAGGCTGTATAGTATAGGTGGTATAGTACAGATTCTGGGATTTATGAGCTTTAGGGAGGCTCTGTTCGATAAGGGTTACTACAGAAGGGCTGTATAATATGGGAGTCTGAATCACTAGAATAAGGTTCCTGGCAGGGTTACTCATAACGGCGTCCATGAGAGTTCTATGACTATGATATCAGGGCCTGAGTGGTTAGAAGAGCGGAAAGCAACCTGAACATTGTCTAAGCGTCCATGTTCCCAAATCGGGTGGCGCCAGGGTTTCCGACTTCAATCCAAGGATGGAATAAGGAATACACCTTCGCTTCCAATGCCCGTTGTTAACTCAGCACACAAGAAATGTCTTCTAAGGATTTCGGGCTTCGGGTTTTGGGGTGCGAGCTCGCTTGGATTCGTTTTGCGTTTCGGTGCATGAACACAAAACAGCACGGCGGCTCAAGCTCTGTTGATGGACAAGAACCTGCATGGATAAAAAACCACACCCGAAACCTGGCAACAGGGAGATGTTCGCAATATTGTATCCGGTTGCCTGAATGCATCTGCTCCCTAGGCCACTGAGGTGCTTGCACAGCGTGTTGCAGAAGCTGGCGAGGTGAAAACGTCACTGGTGTCATTGGAGTGACCTGGGCAAGCAGCTCCAGGCGGAGTTGGAACAGCTATTCAAAAGAAAAGGGCGAGGACACCCTGCATGTCCATATAGTTTCCTGCACGGGAAAGTCTCGTGGGCCTTGTATGCCACGTCTGTGGAAAATCTGCGGACAAATGAATTTTGTCCGACAGTATGACTGCTTGCCAGAAAACATATGGCGTTAGTTCTTGTGAACACCCACCATGTGGCTCATCGCAAGTGTGAGAAGTCTGTACACTGTACACCCCATGTATGGCCACGTTTGTGAACTACAATAACGATGAAGACATGTTGTAGCATCATTGTCCTGATCATTGTGAACCTGCCCGTGACAAGCATCTGAACCACAGGACGTCTGCACTAACACACCTGCTACTCCAACATACACACACACACACGGCATGGATGCACCCATCCATACATCCATGCAAACAAACATACATACATACATGCATAAGTACATGCCTGCATACATGCATAAATACATACAACGCCAACACTGATGCACCTGAAGCCCCGAGACTCATGCCAATAAAAGCTGGCACCACACGAACAAAAGAGCCAATGGACGCGAACAAATTCCTTGGGCTGCCGACCGGCGTGCCGGAGGGTGACATAGGAACGGCACCCGGGACGGCCATCATCGCCGGGAACCTATTAAAGATGATCGGTTCGTTTTCGGACGATGGCGGCCGGAGGGTTTCAAGGTTGCAGGTAGCCAAGCTGATTGGATTGCAGTTTAGGGTCTAGTGTTTATGGGTTTAGGGTTTAGGGTTTAGGGTTTAGGGATTTAGGGGTTTAGGGTTTCTGACCAGGGTAGGTCCATGTAGGTGCAGTGTCTTCGAGCCTTTCAGCGGCCCGAAAGCCCAAAACCTTCTTTTAATAGACAACCTTGCAAGGCCGTGTTGAAACCTTTAGGGTTTAGGGTTTAGGGTTTAGGGTTTAGCCAAGAAAACCTCGAATGCAAAACCGGCACTATCAACTCTTACGCAACCACACCTGTATAATCCTTGAAAGATTCCCACAAAGTGCAACGGAAGCCCTTGTATGACCATCTCTCAAAACCCTTGAACCCCTACTAGACCCTAAATCCTGTTAACCAATTTGAAAACCTTTCACAATCTGACAAATCTCCAATACTAATCATAACAACATTAGTAACAGTAACATAAAACGACAATAGTAGTTACTTCTATTCTTACTACTCTTCTTTCCCAAATTTTTTGTCTTGATACTCTAAGAACAAAGCAAGACTAGCAATCACGGAACTATATTGAACTTAGAACCCTAGCAAAAATTAAAATCTTAGCTGTTTCTTAGGGATTAAAATAACCCAAATTTAAAAAAGTATTTCTAAGTACCCCTAAGGAATACGAAACCTGAAAAGAAACTCAGCTCTCCGGCCCGGTCGCCATGGCTCAGCGGTCCGCTCCCGGCCCTCTCCCGGCCCGGAGATACGGCTCTGAGGAAGAGCATGGGGTTTCGGGTCTGAGGGGTGTAGGGGTTTGGGGGTTTGGGGGTTTAGGATGGTTTAGGTTTAGGGGCTTTGGGTTAAGAAGAGCAGGATTTTGTTGGGGAACTGTGGGGTTTACCTATAGTCTCCATTGTAGTTCCTTGTTTTTGGTTTAAGCAATTATAGTAGGATCCCAAAAGGTAACCCCAACAAGGAACTACAATGGAGACTATAGGTAGGGTCTCAGGGGTTTAGGGGTGGAGGAGATACGGCTCTGAGGAAGAGCAGGATTTTGTTGGGGCCTTGGGGTTTAGGGTCTCAGAGGTTTAGGGGTGTAGGAGTTTGGGTTTTCAGGATGGTTTAGAGTTAGGCGCCTTAGGGTTGAGAAGAGGGACTTAAGATCTGCAGGGCTTAATGAAGGTTTGGTGTCTCGGAAAAGTCGATAAGGCCTTGCAAGGATTTAGGGCTTCCTCTGATAAGGCTTCGCATGTACGGTGACAGGGTTGAGGGATCGAGACCGAAACATGCAAGTACACACATATGTATGTGATATATAGGGTTTAGGGTATATATACATAGCCTACAGGGTTCAGTTTCCGGAATGCATTAATTAGGGCCGTAAAGCCCGAGTCCTGCATAATTAGTGCCCACGTACCGTGGCAATGCTGCGCTTTTGTAAGTTGATGCAGTTCAGGGTTTAGGTTTTAGAATTTGTAGGGTTCAGGCATGTTTAGGGTTTAGGCGTCCCCATTCTGCCCTCCTGGCAGCCACAGACCTTACTCTTTTCTTGCGCATGGAGCACTCCGCCACGGTCCCTGCTGCAATAGATCATTCAATCGCCCACATTCCGTATTTGGCGAGTGCACTCGCCTGTACATCTTGTCTCTAAACCCAAACCTCGAACCATGAAAACCCCAAACCCTCAAACCAGCATAAATCCTACATGTAAGCTCTAAACGTCCCTGGATGCTGCAAGTGCATCATTAAACCGCACTCCGATCCAAAGCCCACACTTCAGATTTCAGCTTTCGAAGGCTTTAACGAACTTAGTAACCTCTCCAACCCCCACCCTGCACCACCCCCAAATCCTACACATCCGTCCAGATTCCCATGTGTAACAGCCTTAAGTGCACCGACACATCCCACACCCTGCAGTGTTGAGGTGTGGCTTCAGTCGTCTTCCCACTTGAAGCGCCTGGCAATGGTGGGCTACAATCCGGGATTTGAAATGCGGTGCGGGGTCGGAAATACTGTTCCCCAGGATTCCTTATGGTTGTTATACCATCACGATAGACTCCAACACGCTGTTGCCGTCATTGAGGCCCCTGCAGTAGAACGAACACATGCCGTGGAGCTTTGCGGTAGATAAACGGGCGAAGAGGGCATAAGGTGAGGGTGTGGGGTTTCGGGTTTAGGCGTTGGAGCATGACGGCTCCTCAATAAGGACCAGACCGGGGTTGGTCTGTGCCCCAAGCCACTACAATCCCGGAATCTCAACAAAGAGTCGTAGCTCTGAGTTGAAAGGTTGCACGGTTCACGGCTTAAGGTTGAAGCTTAAATTACAGCATCAATATTCGCCTATCAGCCCAGAATGGCCTTGACTCATCTTGCTTTTCCTGAATGAACAGTTGCAAAGTACCTAGCTTCGGACGTAAAGAACCACCATAACCCCACCCAGCCCCACAATCCAACAAACCCTGAGAGTAACCTTATCGAGGTCCTAAGTATTGGCTCCTTTGGACCCCTCGGGTTCTAGCAAGTTCTGAACCAACGCACCAAGTAAACATCCGGGGTGACTTGTCTCCGCGCTTCGCCCGCGGCTTGGGGCTACCAGACCTGCTAGGGCTGCTAGGGTAGAGATTTGCGTCTACTGGGGGGCTGGAGATGTGGTTACAGGGGACACCATTACGAACTATTCAAAGTTAACCTTTAGATTACAAAGTTAGGGTGAAAACGGGCGCTAAATCCTAAACCTCAAACCACAGCCCTAACCCCCAAACCCTGCACTCTAACCCTGAAGCCCGATGGCCTACCGTGTAACCTTTAAGGGTCTATGGGGGTTAGGTTAGTGTAAGTCTTCCATGTGCATAAAGGCCCCCTTAGTAGCTTGAACAGGGTTTGGGGACATATTGTACGAAAGTTATTGTAAGGCAGCCCACGGGCCTAAGGATAGCATGCAGACCTCTACTTGGAGGTTCATGGGTAGTGCTAAGCAGGGCGATAAGTTCGTCATCAGCCCCATAAGGCGGTTTCTAGTTATAGTTATGCTACTGAACTAACCAAATTAATGAACCTCACTTATAACTACCCATGAACCTCCATCATCCAAGTATAGTCCCTTTTCAGGGTGGCCTCTGGGTTCAGAGTCATGCATGAGCGTTTCAGAAGATAAGGCGAGCGTTTGAAGGGTTATTGCAACTAGGATCCTAGTATTCACAGCAAGTGACGAAATAAGCCTCTCGCAGTTTCTGAAACCCGGAAAAAAGGACCGTAGGATCCAGCTATGTCGAGAGCCAGACAGATTTAGCTTTCACGTTTAAAGAGCCCTACCCGTAGTTGCTTTCTGATTCAACCAGCTCCTATGGTTCGGAGCCTATAGCCACTGAAGAAAACAGTCAACTAGGGCTCCAGTTTCTTATCAATAGCAGGTTAGCCACCACGTAAGATGTAACCCAGTGACCCATTATAGGTGATTCGAGCCCCTAGAGCCTTTACAGCAGAAGCCTAAAAGTTGGAAACCCAATAGCCTCAATCCTTAAGAGTACTGTATAGGGAATCCCAGCTCTATTTGGCCTTAATCCGGTTTCCAACTTTCTGGGGTTTACAGTATAGGTAGATCCTGACGGACCTAAAAGCCCAATCTAAACTCTAAAGACCCCGCAAACCTTATCCAAAAGTCCCATGCCCAATGGGTCCCAGATGTTTGGGCACAAAAGAAGTATGGGAGTTTCCGAAAACTAGGGGTGCCGTATTTTGGGGTCCTTACAGTAAGGATCCTACTATTTAGGATACTATACTAGGGTCCCCTATTTTCGGAAACTGCCAATATGCCATACTGTTCGTTGGGCGCTTTGGGATAAACATTCTACTAACTCTAGCTCCCTGAGATCCCTTATCCCTGCTAAGACCGCTGGAAGACCCCGCAGCACAGATCCTTTCAATTTATCGTCACAGAGCCGCAAAATCCGCCAACAAAATCTACAAGGAGCCCTTAAGCTAACCAGGAAAAACTCCAGTATTTGAGGGGCCGTCATAACTGGACAACAAGTTTTGGGGCACTTTATACTTTAACCATGATAAGGACCCTTAGGAATAATATTGGTCATTATTGAGTAGGCCCCATATGAACCCCCCACCCAAACCTAAACACCCTAAACCCCACATTCTACCCCCCAGCCTAAACAACCCAACCCCAAATACCCGTTATTAAGGGCCATAACGGCTCTATTATAAGGGGCACTTGGGGGGTGCTGGAGGAGTCCAACAGTTAAGCTCCCCGCTCCGACCGCTCGCGTTGCCGCTCGCGCCGGCGCTCCTGGCGATGGCCCGAGACTCCAAAAATTCAGGACTTATTTAAGGCTTTATACTAATAGTATAAGGGGCCTTAGAGTTTGGGCTCGTTAAAGCGTTCTGCTAGTACCTGCATTTGGTGTCTAATTAAACCCCATAGACGCTACCTACGTTGAACCTCGAAAGCCTACAGCTTATGATTGTGTAATAACCAGCCCTAAATTAAAACCCTAAACCCTAAACCTTGTATAATAACTTAGAGCCTTTAAACTTAAAAGCTCTATGCCCCTTAGGCCTCAAAACACCCGGGCCTTAAACCCTAAAACGCTAAAGCCCCAAATCATCCTGGTCCTAAACCCTTGAAGCCCTATAGACCCTATAAGCGCTGTTGCAAGGAATGGGATGTTGGATTAACGGGGTCATCGAATGGTTATATAGGAGTTGAAGGACTGTAGAAAGGGATACTCTTACTAATGAACCATTCAGACCTCCATGTCACTGCTGTGTTTAGGGCGGCTGAGGGTTTGGGTTGCTGGTGGTGATCCGGCTGCGAAGCCTTTCTGGTTGTTGGGCTTCGGGTTGTTGGGGCTTCTTGTTCTTCGGCTTCTGGATTTGGGATTTACGGCTTTGGGGCTAACATCTTTGCTTGTGGCGCAAACCTTTTGCGGCTTCAAGATTGGAGGACTTCTTGGGGACCCTAAACCCTAGACCCCTATAGACCCTAAACCCTGGGCCAAAGACCTCTCACCTGCACAGCCAGGGAGTTCCTTTTTTTCTCAGTAGGGGCTACAGAGTGGGGTGGTATGTGACTGTATTTTTGCTTATGTGCTTTTTGGGGGCCCTAAACAAACGGGACAATTTTCGCCAGGCATGCGCGATCGTCGCGGTCCCGGCCACGGTCATCACGGCCGCGACCTCTATCCTGTGCGACAAACCCGAGACCCTTAAAGTCCATATACTATACGGGTAGTTGTCAAAATTATGGCTCCGGGGTACCCGAAATATTAGATGCCGTACTATAGTAGGGACCCAAAAAAAGACCATAATTTTGACAAGCACCCAATACGTTGTAACTATAACAATACTTCGACTTAAGCTTCAGCACCGGTGTATATACAAAATAAGCAATCAGAACCCCGAAGCCCTGTCATACTAAAACAGGCCAGGCCAAGGTGGTTAAGCATTGAGGGTGTTGGCGGCTCAGGGCTATATACCCTGAACCTTCAACCCTATAAATCATATAAGTTACAGGCTGAAGCCGTTCAAACACCTGCGTTATGCGACGGAAAATCTTCGGCAATATCTGCCTGGCTGCAGCGGTGCAGCCAAGTTAGGGTTTCGGGGTCTATGCAGCAGAGGGATACACTTCTGGCCTTCGTATAGACACTCTCGACTTGCGCAGCAAAGCCCTGCAAGTCTTAAAGGAATCACCAACACATGTGGGCAGTCTGAACCCTGATCAAAACCCTTCTAACCCGAACACAGACCTCAAGGCCTAGAACCCCCCAGACCCTGAAGCCCCAAGACCTGTACAACTGAAAGATCTCTCCTGAACTCCTAAAAGCTAAAAACTGCAACAATCCACAGCCACAATTCCCGATAATCCTCTTTTGCAGCACAGTCGCATCGTCCCGGTCCCGCCGCCGATCACGACTTCGATCACGGCCGCGGTCGTCGCGACCACGGTCGTCGCGACCACGGTCGTCGTCCCTTTCACAGGGTCTACAGTTTCGGCTTTGGGATGAAAGGTTATGGGTTTACAACTGGCTCTGCTGCTGAAAGCTTTCCATGTGTGTTGTCCCTAAGCCGCCTTGGGGTTGTCTGCTGAGAGCCTACAGTAGAAGCCGGAAAGTTGGAATATCATTATCATAATCCCTTTAAGGTAAATTATAGGGGATCCTGCCATTATTCCGTATTCCAACTTTCTGGAGTTCCCTTTACTATACTGGCACTTGGACCCTCGACACAAGCTCTGAGCCCCGAAGTCTCGAAGCTGCAAAATCTTAAATCTCTCGAGCTCTACCTAGACTCCCCAAAGTAGGTGAAGTAATGGCCCAAGTAGTTAAACTAATGGCCCAAAACCGGCCAAAAAACTGCAAAAGGCTATTATTCTACATACTTTTGGGTTCCAGGTAGGGATCTTTTTGGCTTGAAGCCCGAGACCCCAAGCCCTAATCTAAATATACATTCACAGAATGGCCTGGATTACGGCATGCTTGTTTTATCTTTTGGAGGGGGGCAGCTATAAAATCATAAAATTAAAGGGAATCTAAGGATGCCTATTGATGTTGACTGTTCAGAATTCAACCCGTTTTACCCTACCCCCCAAAACCCTGCACACCCTACATAATGCCCCGAACCTGGAGCCCGAACCCCAGATGTGAAACCCAAAACCCAAACCTGAAGCGTTAAGCCCTGACTAGACCCTCGTTTCCGGGTCCAAGTACATATAACAGGAAAATCATAGACCCCCACCCCACCCCCCTCGACCAAAAACACCTAATCTCCATGATTGTGACCTAAACCTGGATGCCTAACTCTTACAAGTACTTATGAGACTTATTGCCCTGAAAACAAAAACACCCCTAAGGACCTCCCGCCCAACAAAATGAGCACCTTCACAAGCCACTCCCCACCGCATGGAAGGTGTTTTGGACCCGTAACACCCTTTAAAAAACCTAACCCCTCATGCCAACAGAAACCCTAAAACTACCCACATTCCAAGACCCCCCCAAGTACCCTGTAATATACCCCCAAATACCCACGATTAATGGCCATAGGGACTCTATTAAAGGGCCCGCTTGGACCCTTTATTTATGGGCTCGAAAGATCTTTCCAAATTGAGAGGCGGAGCCTGCGAGATCTGCCGCCATCTGCCTTTTAAGGCTTCAATCAAGGGGTAAAAGGAGGGACCCTTAATGGGGACACCTACCCTATAATGGGCTACAAAATGGGCATATAATAGCAATATTAAGGGTATATACCTAGGGGTCCTTATTAAGGGTCCCTCCTTTTACCCTTGGCTTCAAGGTATGGTGCTCGGAGGGTTCTTGGTGTTCTATAGGGCTGTTGTGGGCTTGATTCCGGTTCTTTTGGGCTTCAGGGAATCTGTGTATAGGTGAGGATGTAGGGGTGTAACGAGCCCGGGGGGTTTAGCAGCCTCGGGGGTTTAGAGTCCGGGGTGGCACAAGGTTTTTTAGGGTTTAGGATTTAAGGGATGGGTTAAGGGTTTAGGGTGGTAGCTAGGGTGTACGGACGATCTTAGGGACAAGGATTTGGGAGCTTGCGAGGAATTTACCATGTCTAGGTGTTCTTTGGTTTGACTTTGGAAGGGAGGGGAGTTATGGACTAGGGCTTCCAGAGTAGGTTGAGGAATTGACGAGAGTCTCTTGGAACGAGAACTAGTGAGATCCTCCAGCTTTCGGGTATCTCTATGTTCTTCTCGGCCTTGCAGTGTGAGGTCAAGAGAACCTAAAGGAACCCTTAAAGATCCCTTGTCAACCCCTTGAAGGAACCCGGAAGTGTACCACGAGGTTCTATAGTAGGGTTCCCTTTAAGGGTGCTATATAATAACTGATTTCCTTTGAGGGTTCTATAGGGTTCTAGAGTAGTTAAGGCGTTCACTGTACTATAAGTTTTATAGTAGGGTTCTCTTTGAAGAGATGGGGCATTAGGGGTCGCTGCGGAGTTTGGAGATCCGAGTTTTTGTGTCGCGGCTTTAAGGCTCATCGTCCCAAGCCGGCCTTAGATTGGGATTCGCGTTTAGGGTTTAGGGCTTAGGACTTTGCGTTCAGGGTTTAGGGCTGAGTTTTTAGGGTTGAGAGTTTAGGGTGCAGGTCTGCACTCTGTTTAGGAGATTCTAACCTCACCCATCTTGTTCCTATGGGTCCGACCATACCGTGACCTTAAAGGGAAGCTTGTGGGCTGCCTTTTCTTTGGTAAACCCTGAACCAGCAGTGTGTTAGTATTTGGGATTGCTGCAGAGGTGAGCTCCAGACATGTGTTTTTCTGTTGGTGTGTGTGTCTGTGCGTTCTCTCGGGTTTTCTTTGGTCAAGAAACCTCCAAGCCCTAAACCCTGCTAGAGGTCGGCAAGATGTTCAGGCACACCAAGCTCTGCAACCTATCCTCAGCCTAGACAAGACAAATATTCCCGAGATTGAAACCCTCGCCACTTCTGCTCTGACCTCCTCAATCTGAAAACCATGCCCATGAACCACTACAACCCAAAGGCAGGCCTCTCGCGATGGAGGATCCCGAGTGCGTTCCTGTTTCCTTGGTCCAGACATTCATGCTCAGCAACCCTGACTCTTGTCGGGAAAGCAAGGTCTAACCTCCCAGACCTTCCAAAATCCCTTAATTAAAGAATCTACCTTAATTCATATTTGGGATCCTATAATGATTTAAGGTAATTTCCTTAATTAAAGGATTTTGGAAGGTCTGGGCTTAAATCCCAAACCCTCAACAGCCAAGCGCCACCGAACACCACATGGAAAACTCTGCAGACTAATGAGAGGTGATGCCACTGAAACTCTCGACTCGAGTATCGGCCTGGTTGTGCATGGACTCAACTCCCCTTAGCGTTTCTTGTAGGGGCTCCTTTTATGCAAGCTTCTTTCGAACTATGCGCCTCTGGACCCTTAGATTTAGAGCTTCGGGTTTCGGCGAAGTCAGGCTTACAGTAGAAGCCCAAAACTTGGAAACCCTGTAGCCTCAATCCTTGAGAGTAGTGTATAATGGAATCCCAGCACTATTTGGCCTTCATCCGGTTTCCAACTTTCTGGCGTTTACAGTAGGTAGATTCTGAGGGGCCTAAAAGCCCCATCTAAACTCTAAAGACCGCAAACCCCATCCAAAAGCCCCATCCCAATGGGTCCCAGATGTTTGGGCACAAAAGAAGTATGGGAGTTTCCGAAAATCAGGGGTATTTTATAGTAAGGATCCTACTGTAGGCGTTTAGTTTCACGACAGAACCCATCCTGGAAGTCGAAAGCCTCAATTCCGAAATACCTTGGGAAGACCTGGGGTTTCGGGCTAGGGTTTAAGGGGAAAAAACCGAAGCCCCAAACCCTTGGAGCTTAGGTTTTGTTTGGGGGGGGGTTTAGTGTTTGTGTTTGGGGTTTAGGGCTATTTTTGGGTCGGGTTTGGATGAAACCGAGCTAGCCATGGGAAAAGAATAGGGTGTGACGCATCCAAGGCGCGAAGCTTCTTCGAGGTCTTGCCTCAAAGTTCACATCTGTCTTTAGGGGGTTCGGGTTTAGGGGTTTAGTATAGGGTTGTAGCGGTGCCTGCAAAGGCATTTGGCTTTGTATAAGTTATATGTTGGAGTGCATAAAGGTGCCTGTAGGATTTCGAAGAATTCTGGAAAGGGTTCTGTAAGATGTATAGCCCTGAGGTTTCATGGGACCACACTTTTCGGTCTTCGGATTTCATTTAGAAGGGTTTGGAGGGTTTGGGTCAAAAGAAGCGCCAATCAGCGAATCCATAACCCGAAACCCTAAACACCAGCAGGGCGCAAGACGTTCTTCAAGCTGTGCTTCGGAGGTGGAACATTCGATATTCAGAGAATAAAGGTTTAGAGTTTAGTCTTAATTACTAGGTCCCGTGAATACTCCTGGGGTTTAGGGGTTGAGAGCTTTAAGATTCAATGGCGCAGGGTTGAAGAATGCTACATCCGTTTGAGCTTCGAAATGCACAAGAAACCACGTTCAGAGGTCGGGCTCAGGTTCTCGCAGGTACCAAAAATTACCAGCAGTGCTTAGAGGCTTGCCAGCCTTTGGGTGTCAGTTAGGATTTCCTGTTTCGGCCCTTCCGTCTAGAGTTTGCATACTTTAGGGATATAAGGTTTAGAGCGTCAAGAGCTTCTTGCATGAAGGGCTTCATCGAAGGTAGGTGTTGCTTAGCACAACTCTTTCCGGGCCTCCGCCTCTTGAGCTCATCTTGAACTTTCTCTGCCTCCTCCTTTTTCTTTTTCAGCTCGTCCTGATGTGTGAACAGCTTCTTGGGATTCACAAACTCAAGCCCATGGTGATTAGTGCAAGGATCCTTTATACTATTGCTTTGGGCACGAGGACTATCATGTTCCAACTTTCTGGCTTCTACTATAGACTTGTCGGCTGAGGGTTCAGGGCCCACAGTGCTGGGAATATACCCAACATCGCAGTTCGGGATTGCCAAATTTCGCGAGTCCCTGAACCTTAAAACTTAAACTTAACATGATCGGTGTTGTGACATGATTTTACTTTGTGTCGGTGGTTTAGGCAGCCTTTAGGCATGCTACAAAGCCCAATGTGGGACAGCCTTTCACAGAGAGAGAGAGAGAGAGAGGTCTAAACAGAGTCTCACTTCTACTGCTTTCTCGCAGTCGCTGAGATAAGATAAGGAGCTGCAGTACAGAAGCCGAACCAGCAAACACCATGCCTTAACTAAACCCGAAACCTTACCTTAACCCCAAATAACCCTTTTTAAGGACTCAAATAGAATTCATAGGCAGGTTTCTTAGGGTCCACATAAGTAAACAATTGAAGTGACACAAGCTTAAACTGCCAGGGCATCCTGCGAGCTTCCCGTGAATTCTGTAACAGACAGTATGCAGATGCACTTGTAGAAGTAAGTAGGGCTTGTTTTTAGTTGTTTATGAGGGTTCGTCTGAGGGATCTATCAGGCGTGTGGTTGAGGCTACTACATCCTAAAATCTCAAACCCGAAACTCAAGTAAAGCACACGAGCTTTACAGCAGATGCCGACAAGTCGGCAAGCCTTCTTCTGGTCGATGAACTCGCGCGGGACGCCGACCGGACTTTCCTGTCTAGGCTGGGTATAGGCATAGGGCTTAAGGTTTAGGGCTTAGGCTTTGGGGTATAGGGCTTAGGCTTTAGGGTATAGGGCTTAGGGTATAGGGCTTACTATGGTTTAGGGTGTAGGGTGTTGGTTTAGGGTTTAGGGTTCAAGCTTTCGGGTATATAGGGCTTAGGGTTTCTGCATCAGCTGGAGGTGAGCAAGGAGTGCAGCAGATTGGGAGCAGCTTCACAAGCCGTCGGAATCTTTCCTAGTTGTCCAGTGTCCTATGAAACATGAAGGCGAGACTCCATAGTAATTCCTTTTTGGGATTACATATATGAGCCCCCAAAAGGGACTACTATGAAACCTCAGGATAACCTTTGGGAAAAGGCAAGGGTTGCAATTTTCTGAAAAGGTTAAAGGTTACATGCATACTGTACTGCTAAGCTTCCCTAGCGTGTACAAACAAAAGAAGGTGCCCACAAGCTTGTTCACGGCACATGAAACCAAAAAGCTAGCAAGAAAACAGTCACACAAGTCTAAACCGAAAATCCTCCACCCGGAACCCTCCACCCCAAACCTATAAATCCTGAACGCTAAACCCGACACCCCGGACCTTAAATCCTGAACCCGGAACCCTGAGCCTGAGCTGAGAGGAGATGCTGCCACAGCTCCGAGACGAAAGATCCCGCCTTGGAGTTGGACTAGGGGACTACCTATAGTCTCCATTGTAGTTCCTTTTTTGTAACCAATGTTATGGTTAGGATCCTATAGCAGAGTTTTTGGTTAACCAGAAAAAGGAACTGCAATGGAGACTATAGGTATTGGGGATATAGACCCTCTCAATAAGGTCTTGTTTAAGAAAGCCAGAAGTAGGGTTAAGAAGGTTCCCTTTTAAAGGGGTCTCCCGAATGCTACCCAGGATAAGAGCATCGAATCCCTTTTCTTCAGAGTTCTGTGCCCGATCGGCTCTTTGCCCTACTGCTCGCCTCGGCAGGCTCCTGTGTAGAGACTAAGTGTAGGCGGCTTACCCCAGGGCTCTGACTCATATGTTGAGGCTTTTGGGCCCAAAGACAATACTAGAGAAGGCTTTGGGGCTGTTTTGATCAGCAGGGTTAGGCGACAAAGCATCAGCACGTCGGGACTCGAAATTGGCCCCTTCCTTAGTAGCTTTGGGAGTTGAGGGGCATGAGCAATTATGTTTCTGAAAGCAACCGCGTGAGTGAAAAGAACAGTGTATGTACTGTTCGTGTATGGTGCTGCTCATCTTCGTTGATTCTGCCTTTACGGCCGCTGTAAATACACACGCCCGCAGAGACAACTTCATGATTGTTAGTGTAAGGGTCCAAGTAACAACCGATCAACGTCCTGGGATTTCAGTTACAAAAGCCAAACAGTGAAGTTTCGAGTTTATGCTTTGGGAGTTCGGGGGTAGGGCTGTAGTAGTCTGGAGTTCAGGCTGCATAGATTAAGGTTTAAGGATTTACGGGTTTGGGGTTAATACGCACGAAATTACCAAGATTCTTCCTGGGGGCTCCTCACCATAATGCTGTCAATTAGTACGTGATTCATATAAGGCTCATATATTACAAGGTTTCAGCTCGGGTTCCGGCGTTTCGAGAAATCCATGAGAAGCCAGTGTCTGCTATTATGAAGGGGCCTTTTTGATTAGAATAGGGCTCCTTCAAGGGATCTCTGAAGGGCTTCTGTAAGGGACTTCCTTTCTGAAAACCCCCACCCTACACTAAACCCCTAAACCCCCAAACCCTAAACCCTAAACCCTAAACCCCTGAACCCCCAAACCCTAAACCCTAAACCCTAAACCCCTGAACCCCCAAACCCTAAACCCTATGTACCCATCGCTTCCCTGGCCTTCCTTTCCAAGAAGCCTGTGAGGTTCACCTCCGAGAGAAGCACCGGAGCTTTGGAAGTCGAGCTCTTGGGGTTTAGCGTTTTAGGGTTATAGGGCTTAGGGTTACAAAGTTGAGGGTTTTAGGGTTCTAGGGTTTAGGGTTTTAGGGCTTAGGGTTTTAGGGTTCAGGGTGTTTGGGGGCTTTCAATTTTTTGTTGTGGCGGTTTAAGGGCCTTTGGGAGGGCTGAGGGGCTCTTGTGCAGGGTTTAGGGACGTTTGTGGGTTCAGGGTTTGTGGCTTGTTAGGGCTCTCTGCGTTTATTGGTTTTGTTGGATGTATTGGGGTTCTTGGGTTCAAGGTTTTGGGGCGTGGGCTTTAGGGTTAGGGACTCTGTAAAGGCTGGGTTTCGGGGTTTAGGGTTAAGGCTTTCGCGCTCAGGGCATGGCAAGAACAGAAAAAGGAATCGTGGCCCGAAAGACTAGTACCACCAGGGACATTACGAAACGGTGCTACCCACAATAACATAAGTCCGTAAACCCTAAACCCCTAAACCGTAAACCTGAGTCGGTGACTTTGAGAGACTGGATTCTCTTCGATACTCGCAGTCCTGCGGGACCAACGGCAAAGCCCCAATGCGTACACCCCCTATAGAAACCATTAACTTGAACCCGAAACCCCAAACCCTTAACCAAGCTAAAACCCCGATCTGCCCAGAAGCCTAGACTACTAACTCAGCTAAGACACAAAACCGCAAACCTTATATAGACCTTAGTCCCCACCTGGACAGTGACTAACCTACCTGCTTTACGGACGTATATAATGAAATCATACAATAATGAGGAACCCTCAAAATTTAGGTTCTTTCGGGCCCCTAAACCGCAGAATCCTAGCCCCGAAAGCTCTTTGCCCGTTCCACCTGGAGCATCTTCGGATCGAGGCCTTTGTCTCCGGGCTCCGAGAGCTGCGCCACGCAGAAGCTGGCACCAGAATCGGAGACAGTAACAGAGGGTTGAGGGTTTAGTTTTAGGGAGAGGGTTTAGGGTTTAGGGTTTAGAGTTTAGGGTCTAGGGTTTAGGTTTTAGGGTTTGGGTTCAAGGGTTCTGGCACCAGAATCGCAGAGATTGTAATGTATCTCATCTGATATCATCATATTTTGGTCTCAGTAATGCATCGGTGTCAGGCTAGGATGTCGGGTTTGGAGCTTTGGGACGTTCTGCACTTTTGAAGAGCTAGGCGTGCAAGCATTGGCTTTGCTACGACACTGCGAGAGCCAGATGCTACTCAGTTCCGGAGTACAGCGGAAGTTTCCAGCTTCCAACCCTCAACCCTTTAACCTGGTCTGGTTTTGGAGAACAACTTGAAAAAATGTAAAGCCGCGCCTGTGCACGGCGCTGTTATGGTGTTAGCCCTATAGGCCCTGAACCCTAAAAACCCTAAGCTCCTATTCATTAGGCCCAACAGCGGAAACGCTTAAGATCCTCTTGTAGGCCCAATACGGGAACATGTGCAGTGTCCCAAAGGCCTACCTTAGGTCCCAAAGAAGCTAAAACAACCTGCAGTAGAAGCCAGAAAGTTGGAACATCATTAGCCTCAGTATAGGGCATCCCAGCATGAATCATCCTAAACCAATGTTCCAACTTTCTGGGTTTCACTATATATTGAAACCTCTGAGCCGATCCAGAAAGCGTGAGGCGACGTACCTAGCGGTGAACCCAAGCGTTAACCTGCACGGGTTTCGGGTTTGGGGCTTAGGGTTTAGGCTTTAGGATTTAGGGCCCTTAAAAGCCCCAGCCCTAAACCCGAAACTTGGCCGGCAAAGGGAGAGATTGGAGTCGACCTTTTCTATGCACTTCGTTTTCAGGACTTCGCGCGAGATTTGAGAGGAACCTTTGCATGCTCTTGGTTTAATCAAGCTTCGTTTGAGGGGTCTTGAAATGGTGCTATTGACCCCCAGAAGCATCCTAGACGACACAGCGCAGTAGCGTGCTTTGGCCATCTTCTTGCTTCTTACGACCGTTATCCTCGACGAGAAGAAGCTTCCTCCAATGTAATGAGAAAGAAAACAGCCCCATCTCAAAATAATAGCAGACAGCAAAGTGGATCCTAAAACAGAAGGTCCTAGGTCCTAGGTCGCGGTATGAGGCAAATTTCGAGGTTAGTCGAACTTTCGTCATGAGAGCGCTTTGCTGCCGACGGGAGGCCCCTGATGAAAAAAACACCCTCCCTCAGCCTGGGATATCATAGGGATCGGAAAGAAAGGCGGATTATTCATTTGGGGTCTTTCTTGCAGGGGCTCCAGGGGCTTACAGGGGCTCCAGGGGGGCTTGGGCTCCGAAACACAAGTAAACTCGGCCAGCATGGCTCTACCACGATGTCGTCTTCGAAGCCCAACATTTCCGTGATGCGCTTCGCAATCCACGGCTTCATGACGTCCATAGACACCTCCGGCCAATACGAATGCTTGAGCGAAGAGAGGTTGGAGCTTCAAAGACTGTCGACATGGTGGCTCAACTTCATGCAACCCTAATTCTAAGCCTTGATGATCAAATTTCAAGCCTGAACTGAGAACCCTGTCTCAGTGCAGGTACAGCCCGGGAAAGACCATGCACCATCCCAGACTAGCCACCCTCATGCCCTCCACCATAAACTCAAAGAGGCCCAGAAGCCACATCCGCAAACTTCAGCTAAGCACAAGTTATAGATATTTCGGCACTCAAGCAGTTGAGGTGCCCAGTGAAGGGATTGGGGCTTTGAGAGTGGAAGGGTCCGACGCACTGGCTGTGAGGAGCAGGGTTCAGGTTGATATAAATACACGGGGTTTTGGGAATAGGCATACCATCTCTCGTCACTGAGTGCATCTGCTACAGTCCCAGACCTTCCAAAATCCCTTAATTAAGGAATATACCTTAATTCATATTTGGGTTCCTATTATAATTTAGGGTATATTCCTTAATTTAAGGGATTTTGGAAGGTCTGGGGTCAGGAGCATGGACCGCCATACACGACACTAGCGGGGGACCGGCTGCCCATGTACATTTGTAGTTCTCGAAATTACAAGGTCCTTTTTGATAAGGGTGCGATGCCGTACTGTTTTGGGGACCTAAACAGGGACCTTAAATTAACAGAGAACCAGCCATATACCAGGCCGTCGTACCCACCCAACCATAGCAGCGTCTAGTCATTGTAGGAGGTTCGAACATTTAGAAGGGTTATCCTGAGCAGAGATAGCCTTCCCCGCATAAACCTCAACGTTAGTCCTCGCAGCGAGTATCAGCATCAAAGAAAACTCCCAATTCCCCTATGCAAGCACTGCTATGGAACCATCCGAAACAGTAGCAGCTTAGCCCTGACAGTGAACTGTCGCCTGAATAAGCTTGACAACTTGAGCTACCCTTATAGTAACCCATATAGGGCAACTTACTACATTATAGTAGACCCTACCTCGATCATCACTCTGTAAGGACTTAAGTTGGAATCCGAAGTGCATAGACACTACCCACCGTACATTCTGGCGTTTGGAATGTTAGGGTCATAACGATCCCAAAAGGTTAGAGGTCGGCAGATAGAAGTGCATGTGTGGAAGTTGCAGCTTCTGTAAAACCCACGGGCCTTGGAGATGTCCACCTTTTGAGCATAGTGGTCAGGAAACCGCTTGTTCTTCTGCATCTCCTGCAGCGGTCACAGAAATCCCAAGGTTTCTCAGTTCCTCATTAAGAAACCCTGGTCCCATATAACCCTAGGAATACAACGAACCCGAATCAAATCCCAAGAAATCAGGTTCCTACATCACTGACTTTCGACACCGGATGCGGAGCTCACTCAGGCTCGATGGCTACATGTGTAAGTTGCCGAGCGGCTGCAGCCTTCCCTGCGTGAGGTGCTGTCCTGTGCAGCACGTATAAGGGTAACAAGGACCTCAAGACCAAGGCTGTCCTGTTCGAGAGACCCACTATACCATGCGATACTCCATACCGCAAAATCCGGCCTTTCGGCCAATTAAGTCAACTGAGGTCTCAGACCTCTGTAGGCTTCTCTGCCGCGGAGCAGGTGGGTCCCGATCCGGTAAGCAGCGTTGGGGCCTCCTCGGGCTTGAAGCGCTGGGAGTGCTCACCGAAGGCGTTCGGCTTGCCGGAGTTCTCGTTCTTGCCGTAGGCGACCTCAACTTGTCGCACACTCATACACACACCCAAGAGGGTAGCGTAACACAGACCCAGAGCACTTTCCAGTCCAACATGTCCCCAGATATTTCAAACCCTATAGACCCTACACCCCAGATACTTCTGAAGAGGCTGCAGCATCCTTAAAATCCTTGAACCCTATCGGAAGGCCTCGGAATGACAATGGAGATCCACACCTTCCAGCGCCACGCTAGATTCTTTCAACATAGTGTGTGGGCGTGATTAGGGCAATAGGGCTTAGGGTGGAGGAGATTAGGGTTTAGGGAACATCATGTACTCAAAAGGCTGTGCATGTCTGTGTGCTTCTTTGCGCGAGTCATGTGAGCCCCTGTGCCTTCCAGCTCCTGCTCCTCGCTGACCCTCATGCGCATGACGAGGCGCATCAGGAAAAAGATCACAGCGGTCACGGCTGCGGAATAGACCACACCGAAGGCTGCGCCGGCTAGGTTCTTCGCCAGCAAGAGCCCGTCGCCCCCGTAGATGAGGCCATCACCTGTGTCAAAGAAGCCGCCAAGAATGGCACCTGCGAAGCCTCCCACGCCATGGAGAGAGAAGCAGTCCAGCGAGTCGTCCACCAGGTTCAGCTTCTTCAACCCACGAGCCGCGAAGACGCAGCAGATGGCTCCAATGGCGCCAACGCCAAGAGCACCCAGGGGCTCCACGAAGCCGGCACACGGGGTGATGTTCACCTTAGCCGAAGCACGAAGACTTGATGGCTTCTATTCTACTACATGGTCAGCCATCCAAACAAATTAATTGTGTGTCGCCTTGCGTTTTCATGGAGACTCATAAAAACTTGTGTGACGCCATGGACAGGCGAGCAGCAAGTCCAGCCACGGCGCCTGACATGGCGCCGACAGATGTGGGAGCTCCATCGAGGATGCGCTCGACGGAGACCCAGGTGATCATGGCGGCGGCCGCTGCAACATACGTGGTGGCGATGGCCAGGGCACAGTCACCGTTAGCGGCGAAGGCGGAACCACCGTTGAAGCCGGTCCAGCCCAGCCAAAGGATACCTCCGCCCAAGATGACGAAAGGCAGGTTGCTGGGGAAGGACTCGGAACGGTGCTTGCGCTCCCCCAGCAGCGATGCCAGAGCAAACGCAGAGGTGCCCGAGCTGATGTGAACGACAGTTCCACCGGCAAAGTCCTCGGAACGGGCGACAACAACGAAAAGTCAAGAGCAGCGGGCAGCTACAGGTTTATGATGTATGCTATCCGATTCTGCGGACTCGCATGGACTCGCAGTCCTTGGCGCCCATCTCGGCAATCCAGCCGCCACCCCAGATCCAGTGGCAGAGGGGCACGTACACTGCAAGGACCCAGGCCACGATGAAGATAGCGTAAGCCGAGAAGCGGATGCGCTCAACCACGGCACCAGAAATGATAGCAGCCGCTATGATGGCGAAGGTCCTCACATATACGTCTACTTCAAATAAATTGCAAGCTGTCATAACGAACAACATTTTCACATCTACGATCTACAGAACACATGCAGCCACACCATGCTTCTTGAAAAGCGGGACTCTAGATTGAGGCCAAGGGTCATCTGAAACACTGCAAAGGTCATTCCTGGCATGGTGGTTCCGGACCACACCGCGTCGAGGTTGCGGAAGCCCACATAGGTAAAGCCCTTGCCTGCACCCCACTCGTCAAAGGACCAGGTAAATCCGAACACCAGCCAAGTGATGGTGGTCAGTCCCATGGAGATGATGCTCATCATCATCGTGTTGACGATATTACTGTCTCGCACTAGGCCGCCATAAAAGAATGCTAACCCAGGTGTCATGAACAGAACCAAAGCACAGGACATGGCCATCCACGCGGTGTCGCCGTTGTTCAGGCCCTCCATGTTTCCAAAGGGTTCCTACCAGGCTACTATTTCTACCTGTTGCAACGCAGCGCCCTTCAGCCAAGCGGCGGCCAAGCTCTGCTGCATCGTGCTATAGCAGTTCACGTGTACTTGGTAGCGGACTTCAGCATGCTACGTTTGTCTGTGTCTCTATCTCTCTCGTTGCTGGCCGCAGCTTTCGCCGGAGTCACGGTGCTCAGACTATGGTGAAGACATCTTGCATACACTCCGTCCTGACTCTCCGCAACAATACGGAACAGAAGCAGCCCGGGTACAGAATAACGGATTTAAATACAGAGCAACATGCTTTGTCAGGGTCATTCTCATCGTCATCATCGTTGCCACCAACAGGTCATTTGCTGCATGTAATGAGTCTTTGCCACAAGAATGACGTCAAATATCACCAAACTTGTGTGTGTATGTGTGTGTGTGTGTGTGTGTGTGTGTGTGTGTGTGTGTGTGTGTGTTTGTGTGGGTATGTGTGTTGTGTGTTGCATGTTGCGTGTCGTGTGTCGTGTGTTGTGCGTGTTGCTTGTTGTGTGCTGTGTGTGTGTGTGTGTGCTGTGCGTTGTGTGTTGTGGGTTGTGTGTTGCCTGTGTGCCTGTGTGCCTGTGTTGCCTGTGTGCCTGTGTGCCTGTGTGCCTGTGTTTGTGTGTTTGTGTGCTTGTGTGTTTGCGTGCTTGTGTGGGTGTGATGGTGTGTGTGTGTGTGTGCGCGTGTGTCTGTGTGTGTGTGTGTCTGTCTGTCTGTCTGTCTGTCTGTCTGTCTGTCTGTCTGTCTGTCTGTCTGTCTGTGTGGAGATGTGTGTGTGTGTGTGTGTGTGCGGAACTCCTGTTCCGAAGGATGTAGGCTTTCAATATCAACAAGCTGCTAACATCAACATCCAAAACTCCCCCTGGTCAGGCATGAAGCGGGCTCGAAGCCTAAACCCAAACCCTCCAAGGCCGCAACATTCCGTACCAAAAGTCTTTCTGATTCGAAGGTTCAGCTTCCGGTTGGATTTGGGTCTAGAGTCCAGGGCCTTGGTTTAAGGCTATACCGCCTCGGGATTTAGGGTACCGGCGGTCCTTGATGATTTTCTGCTCAGCATTGACATGCTTGACCTGGAGATGCGCATCACACCAGGCAAGCATTGGCGGGTTGTTCCGTTCCAACACAAAGTGCAACGCCCCCTAAACCCTAAACCCTAAAAGGGTTTGGTTTATCTTAGGGTTTAGGCTTAGGGTCAGCAAGTTTGGAGAACCTGGAGGTTTGTCTCGATGTCAAGAGAGCAGCCTTGAATCTCCACCACCATCCTTTTCCACATCCCAGCCCTTGAAGCCACGGTTCAGGGTTGAAGCCCTAGGGTTTAGCCATCTTGGGCTGAAAACCTGAAGCCTTGTAAAGCTCGAATTGCACCCCTATGCACAGCGTAGTGTAGCTGAGAAGCAGATACACGCCTTCGATATAGTTAAGCAAAAGCTTTCTCATCCTCGCATTGGGGAAACTACGTCAACCTGAGAGGATCCACTAGGAACAGACTGACGAGTCGTCGACCAACTTCACTCCTAGAGAGCCACACAGATCCACCACAATTCATGCCTTGATATTCAAAGGGGAAAAGGAGGGACCCTTAAGGGGGACCCCTGCCCTATAATGGGCTATCATAATGGGTATATAATAGCTATATTAAGGGTATATACCTCCGGGTCCTTATTAGGGGTCCCTCCTTTTACCCTTGGAGATCTGGATCCTCGGACTCCCCCGTATCGACCCCTCTCGCAGAAGGTCTACAGTAGAAGCCCAGAAGTTGGCAACCCCATCGCCTCAATCCTTAAGAGTACTGTATAGGGAATCCCAGCACTTTTTGTCCTTAATCCGGTTTCCGATTTTATGGAGTTTACTGTAGAGAGTTTGGGGATTAGGGTTTCAACCCTAATGGCTATGCACCGCTTTTGGGCAGCCTGGTCCGTGTTCGTCCCTCTGAAGAAGCCAGATGACATCCTTACATCGTGGCTGGGTGCAATGTGGTAGAGCAGCAGGTGGGCTTGGCAGGGCTTAAAGAGGGCTATAACAGTACAAAACGACAACTCATGTATGTATATATTATGTATCAGGAATAATGAACATATATAAATAAATATATACATATATATATATATTTATGCTTCAGGGTTCAAGCTAGGGAAGTGTTACTTTGTGGGCTTGGCTTCGGTGGTCCCAGTGCATTTGTGGTTCTGGATTGAGGGTAGATAACTCGCAGGGGTCTGAACAACGAGTAAACCATATCTACAGATACGACATGCGGCCAACTCGTTCATAGGTATTCTGTCAGAGATACCTGATTCAGAGCAACACTACAACTACTGTGTCGTGACACGCCTCCAGAGCGTTTAACCTCGAACACCTTAGCACCAAGCCAATGGTACAAAGGCACACACACAAACCAAACGGCTCAGAATGAAACACATGAAGCTAAGCAGCTAAACTTGTTAAACCGTGAGCCAAAACAGCCTGCAAGAAACGAGGACATCATACCGTAAATCCAAACGCGAGATCCATAATGCTACACCGAAAGTGACCAGAAAATGTGACTCGCCCAAACGCAGACACGCATACGCACACATGCACAACAGTTCCAACTCGGAAACCCTAAACTCTAAATCCTAAACCCGAACCCTATAAACCCTAAACCCTATAAACCCTAAACCCCTTCGAAATCCTAAACCCTAAACCCTAATTAAACTCTCTACCGCGAAAGAAAGACAGAAAGGACAATGCCGGCCTCCAGGACGTCATCCCTAAACCCTAAAGCCCCAAACGCTGAACCTAAACGCTAAGCCCAAATCCCAATACGCTATACCCCAAAACCTATGCCCATACATATATATATATATACACACACATGTAATTATATATATATATATATATATATATATATACATATATATATATATATATATATATATATATATATGTATTTTGAACGTACATGCATACATACATGATACATACATGACTATTTGTTTATTATGTGAAGATACTTATGACATAGGTGCTTAGGGTAACTATGTGCATGTGTATATATATACATACATACATACACATACTTGTTGATGGACCCTACCAACATGTTCTATACATACACCCTGAACCCTACAACGTAGCCCAGGAGCTCGCCTCGCGGCCCTAAGCAGGCGCGGAGAGGGAACTCTACGACCTAGCTAACCCCCCTTTTCCCCCACCCCCCCGACGCAATCTGCTGCGGAGTGTTGTGGTTTAGGGTTTAGGGATAGGGTTGCGGTGAGGGATTAGGGCGACTACGGTTTCGGGTTTCGAGGACCGCTTCAATCTGGAGGGTTTTGGGATGTTCGGTCTTTCATGATGCTTTTTCTGGCGGCTGCAGAGTTTGTTATGGATTGAAAGCCGAGGCATAGAAGTTCGAGTTAAGCTTAGACGACGACTTCGCATTGGGTGCGGTCTTGTCGCCTCATGTCCGAACTTGATCTAGCACCCCGTTGAATCTTGCCAAAGAAACTCTCCACACTCAGAAACCGTGGCAAGGGCCGGGGCTCCTTGGATTCCTTGCGTGGAAAATGTAACTTCACCACGGAACCTCACAGTAGGAACCCTCCTGAAGTACGATACTGTCAGTGTAGATACACTGCAAGTGTAAGAACCATAGAAACCACATGATAAACCCTAAACCTTGGCTACTGCCCCCACCCTGCAACAGGGATTAGCTTATAGGATTCTGAATATGAGCCCCCAAAAGGAACTACTATGGAGCCTTAGGGTACACCCAGACATCCCTAGACCCTACTTCTAGAGCAAAGTTGACTGCCCAGAGCCTTTCAACAACCCCGGAGGGTCGTGGTTTGGGGTTTAAGGTTTAGGAGTTTAGGGTTATACACTTTAGGGGTTTAGGGTTATACACTTTAGGGTATTAAATTATTAGGGTTTAGGGTTATACACTTTAGGGTATTAAATTATTAGGGTTTAGGGTTATACACTGTAGAGTATTAGGGTTTAGGGTTATACACCTTACGATTTGGGGTTTAGGGTTATACACTACCTTTATGGAATCGTTAGCTATGCGGTCCAGAAAGACCCTAATGCTGGGCTTGGGGGGACCGAATTCCAAAATAGTAGTCTGCACGGACCCTCTGGGAGCCTATGTCAGGGGTTGCCGTGCATCTTGAGGTCATATCGGAGCCATTTGGCACTGTACTATCCTGTTTCTCGAATCCACATGAAGGGCCTCAAGAATGGCTTGGGGGGTTTATTACCCTATACTTATGAACTTATAAGGTGGCGGGTAGGGCGGGGTATAGTATAGCCGAAGGGCATGATCTTGGTTTACATACCCCCTAACCCAAAATGCTACAGAATCCGCTGAACCCCAAATCCCAACAACCCGAAACCGCATCTAATCAGACTCCTGTAGGTGGTTGTCACCATTATGGTCCCTGCTTGGGTCCCTAATATAGTACGGCACCTACTATGTAGGGTACCCAAAAAGGGACAATAATTTTGACAACCACCTTACCGGACCCGAGGCGACCTTCCCACGACACCCGCCCTAGATCGAGGAGGCGGAGGAGTGCAAGACCTATAGTACCCTCACACTACAAGGGAACCCCAAACCTTACTTACTAAGTCCCATGAGCCTTTAAGTAAACCCTAAACCCTTAAAGGGAACCCCATTATCCTTGATACAGTTATAGTAACCTAAGGTATGCCCGAAAAGCCTAATCATTATTTCTTTCTTAAGTCGTATATATGATTGGACAGTTTTGTCAAGGATGCTGTCGGTTCGGAGGGCTTCGGCACTGAAGGCTTCCAAACATTTTTGAAACTCTGTGCAGGACCCCTCTTGTCGACATGCGTTGAATTTGAGCAGCCTTCCCGGCGCAGGAAGAAAGTGGCATCTAGAAGTACCGACCAAGAGCGTCAGTGAAACCGCCACCCGCCTAAGATCTGGATGACTAAACTCCAAGCCTCGATCAATGAATTCCGCA